AGGGACTGGGAGGAGTAGGAGGAGAGAGGCAGGGAAGTGAAACGGATGCAGTGAAGCAAATAGATGGCCCAGAGAGCATATTATGAGGCAAACGTTGAGGAGTGAGTCACACGAGAGAACTAATGAGAGACACAGGGGGAGGAGGGCGGGAGTGGGGATGGAGTGCGGAGGAAGATTGTGGAGGTGCGGCTTCCATCAGAGCTGACCCTGTAATAACACACGATCGGTCACGCCACATAAACGTGCGTCGCCAGTGCCGCCGTTGCGAAGTGGAAAGATCAAAGAGGTGACACAGGGAAGGCGGGCGAAAGACAACAACAACAACAGGCCAAGCGGGCACCTCCCCTGGGACTAGCGGCGCCACAGCCATGGAAAATGAAGTGCAAATGTTCACTGGCCTGGTGGACCGGCTCGGTGGACCGTGTAGATGTCATGGTCCGCATGAGACTCCTACCTACAGCACTGCGAGTGCTCAGCTAAAAAGGAAGCACAGCAATGGGGTTGTTGATATATCAAAGCAGATTTTTTTCGAGTCTTATCCCTTCGTATGTGCTGGTCTTTCTCTGATTTTATCCCACGTGCAAAAAAAAACTGTGGCTGAAAAAATAAAGCACGTCCATCACGAAAATAGAATGGTGAAGGTGCTAAGTGGATTGGTGGATCACCAGGACCATGAGAGATCACGGTGGCTTGGAGAGGCCTTCATCCAGCAGTGCACTGCTCATGGCTGATGAAGATAAAACATTTCCCAATACAGGGCCCTTCTGCAGAAGACTGTTGACACTCAGCAGTGGTCTCCTGGACAAATGATTATTATTTATTACAGACATGGGACCACCCCAGGACACAGCATGAGTTTAACCATGTGTTAATTTAATGACATTCATGTTTTTTTATTGAGATTGAGAGGTAAAGTGATATTTTCCTCCAGTTTCCTCAAACGTGCTTAAATATTAGTGATATAATAAACCATTGTTCCATCAATTAATGTGAAATATTACTTCAGGAACATTACACTCGCATTGATTCACATGTGCAAGTATCACTGTGCATCGATGTATACAAAATGACATGCTAATTATATGCTAGTGTTGTTATATTTGGGCTAACGGGAGCAAAAACATACTTCTGAAAACAATATAGAAATATAGAGAAACAACACAAAGGAGATGATAAAAATGTTAATTAATAATAATAGTTTCTGGAAATCCCCATCTTGAATTGTGAAAAATAATGGAATAGTGAATAGTCGCATCACGAATAGGTACTCAACACTGAGCTGAAAGAACATAGCCCTTCCTGAAAAACTCTTCAAAAGCAACAGCAGCTTTCATGGATAAATACTGAAGAGTACATTTAATGTATATTTTTAATCATTAACTATAATATCTTAGAATACAACTTGAAATAAATCCATTCGAACCAAAGATCTAAATTATTAAACGGTGCATATGAGACTGCACATCAAACTTAAGGTGTGCTGAAAAGTTTACTTTGCAGCATGACCAAAACATTTAAAGTAAATAAATATTTGAAGCACTTTAGATAAAAGTAATCACCTGAAGTTAAAGTCAACGGGGAAAAAGCAGACGATGCCTAATATACATTAGCGCAAATAGATATTTGGAGACCTCGGATAGCAGCATAATGCGAGAGGTGAAACTTTGAACCTATTTATGTATCGCTAACGTGCCTGTCAAAGTGTGTGGGTTTTGGATACGAAGTGTATTCAAGTGTAAAATCACCACCAGAGCCAGTGCCACGGCTCAGGTGGTGGCCGTAGACTTCAAATGTGCAAATTTCCCATTTGATTTATGCAGGAACCACCACCCCATCAACAATCTTCGGGCAATGTAAACAGGAATAATGCCCTGCAGAACAAATTAGAATGGAGTCCTGGAGATTGCATAGCCAGGCACGATTGGAATAATAATTCTTATTGTGCTGTAAAAACGAAAGCTCACGGAATGATTTACTTCTGCACGAACTCAATTGGTACACACACAGCGACAAAGATCCATAATGGACTGTTAGGGCAGGTGCATGGGGCGATGTTTCACACACCGCACTAGGTACTCATTTGAGGCTGAGCCGACCTAGGGGAGGCCCAGGACCGGTACAGATAATCTTTACTGATGTTAGCCGTGAGCAAGAATTTAATTCGGGTCGCTGGGTTTGGAGCGCAGCACGCTAACCGCTACACTACCGCTCCCCACACACACACACATACGCACGCATATGCATACACTTAACGCAAAGGGTAATGATGTAGGTGTAAGATGTTGATGTTCGAGCAGTATATACACGCACAATCCCATTCAATCCTCGTTCAAAATTGCTTTCATCTACGTTTCAAATGTCAACGATGGTGACACGTCTACCTGAGGTTCGCAGAGCGGTCATGGAAAGCCACAAATCTTGCTACACACACCACGAAGGTTACTCGTTGAGACGGATGGCCTAGGAGGACCCTGTGATGAATGGGAGCTGCTGGCATTTGTCATTAATGATGCTGCATAATAAGCGCTTTCACAAATGAGTCTATCAAACTTTAACCCGTGGGGAAAAAATGAAGGAAATAAAGATGCATCATCTTTAAAATTAAATAAATGTTTAGATATGTAGTGCTGGGCGCCGTAGAATTATAATTTCTGTTCACGGCTGACACAAGTGTAATTGTTGATTTTATCGGAACTCAGACACACAATGTCGCCTCTTAAACTCATCAATATTTAATGTTTTGTCTTCGTATTTAATGCTTGTGTTCACCACATTGCCTTTCTAACAAGTGAACTGAAGGAGCACGACGATAGCCCATTAAAACGGAGCGCATCCTCACGCGTTGCTGCACACATTACCATTCCGTTAGACCCAGCGCTCGTTCGCTCGCTCGTTCGCGTGCAGACGCCGACACTCATCACCCAGTCACAAGTCATCAGACTGATAGAGTGGAGACGTGCGGTGGTGCTGGCAGACAGCTGTGCCACAGAGCCGCTCTCACAGAAACGCGCGGTGCCCTCTCGATCCCCGGTGCACAAAACAAATAACAAAGAAAATAATAACTAAATAAATAAAATGCCACGAAAACCCGTGAGCGATTCGCCAGGACCGATTGGCAAACGCTGAAATTCGATCATGGCTACAGATAGATGGGAGGTCACGTGACCGCGATCACCCGCACACATATGCGCGCACTTGCATTAATTGCCAAGCGCACAAATAGAGACTTGCGTACAGGCTTGCACGCGGCGTGTTGGCAGGACGTCACACACTTTGAGAATGTCAAAGTGAGCCGAAGAGCAGTGCATGTCAGCACGCACGTCCTTGTAAAATTCTCACGACATATATGAGCCCAGTAAACATGCAATGTTGAGCCAAAGTTGGCACGAGGTTTGAACCGTTGGACCAACATTGGGCCAGCGTTGGCCCAACATTGCATGTTTACTGGGAAGTCCCTGATGATAATTGCATTATTAGTACAAAATGGGCTTCAATTGTATGAGTGTGTACAAAGCTGGGAAGCGGTAGTGTAGCGGCTAGCGTACTGCACTACGAACCCGGCGACCCAAGTTCGATTGTATAACCTAACACTGGGCCTCCTCTAGGTCGATTCAGTCATAAATAAGTATCTTGTGCGATGTGTAAACATCACTAACAGGGAGACGAAGGCGACCTCCATAGGTCTTCGCTAACAGCGCTTGCCTTAACGGTCCGTTAAAGCTATACACGGGGGGATCTCTGTGGCATGCTCTCGTATCTCATTTTCAAACCTTCTGACTGCCCCTTGGCTCCACTCAACAATCACACCAACGTCCACTGACGCGGGTGGAGCGCACTCACGCACACGCTCGCACCCCGAAGCCACCGGCTCTCGGGAAACGCGGCGGGGGCCAGCGGGCACCGTCGCGCCGCGACAACCCCCGCGTCCCGACGCTAATGCAGGAGCCCAGAAACCAGCCACGTGCCACGAGGCAGAGAGGATTTGCAGGGCACTCTGCGATGAAGACATCAACCACAAAGGCGTACCGACTGGCAATATTACCGCATGAACTGGCCAGATAAGCGAACCGGCGCAGATGCGTGCTACAGGCGAAGGAGGCACGGCTCTGTCCGTGCCTCCCGCCCCCATCCCCCCCCTATCTTAAACTTCTCCCCACTCTAACGCCGAGCTCCCCAACGACGGAGACACAGAGTCTGTAAAAGCCAGTGTTGGTCAAGGCCCGGGCATGGTGGTCCCTTTGTTTTCACAAGCGTCAGCTGGTTTAGGGACCAGATGACCCTCTCCCTGCGTAGGTCACGTGCAGTGCTTGTTTTAGCAGGGCAGACGGAGCCAGTGGGTATATGCCATGCAGCGCTCTCCCCTCCCTCCCTCTCCCCTCTCTTCTATCGCTCTCGAGGGCTCACTGAGAAAACTCATAAACGTCCCTATACCCCCATGCCAAGGCCTGTAAATGTTTTATAAGCGGCTCCCAGCGCTATCGGCTTGCGGCTGCTTGCAATCTGCCAAAGGTTGGACTTTTAGTAAATTGCTTAAAGGGACTTCTACGTGCTCATCAGTAACTGGATACTCAAAGTCTGCAAACCGTAAGAGGGGGTTCTGCTGCCACAACAGAGAACGTACAAAGGGTGTGCACAATTACAAAATGAGGTCGTGTTTTGTTTTGTTTATGTTTGGCTGAGAGTTTTGTGCGTGATGTTTCGCCCGTGCCATCCGGCGGTCCTCTCAGTGCTGGCCGACAGCCCTCTGGAGGCACGAAGCAGAAATGTTTTGTGGGTGCGTCCCACGACAACAAACACGATGTGCTGAGCGAGCTACGCAACTTTGGTGAAATAATTAAAGTGATCCACAAGTTAGAGGAAGGATCTGAGTTTGGGTTGGTATTTGGTGACCCCGTATATTTTCTTCATGAGTGCGAGCCTGCCCCCCACCCCCACCTTGAGCTATTTGCGGCCCTACGCTGTTGTTTGGGTTGCCTACTGCCGGGCGCCACGTCCGGTACCTTTTGAGGTTGCGCCGTTCCACCTCCAGTTCCCCTACAAGCTCGTCCATCCTCCTCTCACCGGCCATGGGCTCCTGCAAACACAAAGACAAAGATCCACATTATAGCCTTTACAGACTGTTGGGGAAAGTGCTCTTAAGCGAGCACCTACGAAGGCCGGCACGGCACACGAGGGGTGGGTGACCAGCACCACGCCCGGCCGCCTTTGTCTCCCCACGACACTGTCGCTCCCCACATGAGCTTCTGTACACACACACACTCACGGGCCCCGGCAGTTGTGATAAGCACGTCCATCTGGGATTTCCACACAGCAACATCTCTTCTGTTGGTCACATGACATTCGTGCTAACACCATCACACCATCACCACGCATCCAACATCAACACCATCACCCTCACATCATCACCACAGGAATGACATCAACCATCACACCATCACCCTCACACAATCACCATGGGTATGATATCAACACCATCACACGCATCCAAAGCTAATGATGATTGTGCTGAGATATAAAACAAAAGATAGTTAGTTAACATCGATTGCAACTTCGCCTTATCGAGATTCATAAACCCAGGAACCATTCTGATTCTCTCAACTCGGCTAATCCGGATTTCCCACTTTATCCAGATGGCGTTTGAATATTACATAACGGCTTAAATAATTAAGTATTGCTTTAAGACAAACGCTGTGTGCGCGCTATTGATCAGTGTAAACGGAAGACATTGCTGCAGCCTAATCATGGCCACCGATTGCATTCACAATGCTGCTGCTTCCGCATGTATCCAGGGGAGCGGCCGATGTTAAATCATCGTGGGAATTTATTGCATGGATCGCGATTTTTTTCCCCCTTCTGCAGTTTGGTCTCCGATTAATCCGGATTAGAGAAATCCTGCTGTAATGTTTTAAAACCAGATGGGACGGACAGCACAACCATTAGTTAGAAAACCCCCACAAAAGACAAATATCCCCCGTATAACCTTAGCAGACTTTTGGGACAAGTGCTGGGAAATGAGCACCCCAACCCCACATACTGAGACCCCGCACAGCCCCACTGGGCACGCAAGTGCTGCTAGCGAGGGCCTCTTAAGGCCTTCGTCTCCCCAGTGCTGATGTTGAACACACCACGACAGACACTCATTTAGGACTGAGTCAATCTAGGGGAGGTCCAGGACCGGTTCCGCTATCACTTGACACTGACGTTAGCAGTGGCCAGGAAATGAACTCAGGCTATCGGGTTCAGAGCGCAACAGGCTAACGGCTGCACCACCGCTTCGCACTCGGCACACAAAGACACAGACACACCTGCAAGCATTGTGCATATTCAGAGAAGGTAAGTACTTTAGTGTAGGAGTTTTTGTCTATTGCACTTTGAATGTGATGACTCGAGTTCGAAAAATAGGAGAGAAATGAATGACCCCTTGTGGCACCTTCCTGCCACGCGTCATCAGCCCCGTAACACCTTCCAACGAGCATTCCGCACACGTCACTCATTCAAGATGGATTTGGGTTGAAACTTTTTCCAAAGACTAAACCCATACGTATTTCTCAATCAGCACTCGATCTATCAAAACTGTGCAGTTTACTGCAATAAATACCGATACCAGATCTCCGCACAAACCAATTCCCGCCACCCAAACACAAGTGCCAATTCCTGTACTGACCGGCTCAAACCTAAACAGGTGGCAACCCTGACATGATACGCAACTCGGGTGTGATTCACAAAAATTGGGTGGAGTTGTAAAAAATACATGTGAGTTCCACTCGTGACATGTAGTGTTCTCTGAGTTGGTCACGTGTTTGGCACACTTATGCTTGCGGGCACAATACAACTGAGGGGCGAATGCATAAAAATAAATGTTCAGTGAGCAAACAACAGTGGCAATGCAATCGAGAGTGCAGGCGGTGCACTATCGATTGCTCTCTTGTTGTTGTCGCTGGCTGACCCCGCCCCGCCTGGACATCGGTGAAAGAGAGCTTCATAGATCATCGGATTCCTCCCGTCTCAATAACGATTCCGATTCGGGCCGGAGGGGCCCAAGTGCTGGGCTACCTAGATGAAGAAGACGAAGCGGGGACATTGGACAGGGTGGGAGCCCCATGTGTAATTCCTTGCACCAGGGCCCATCCCAACCGCTCTCCTTCACCGGTGTGCTGGAAGCATAACAATCCACTCTGCTGTTCCACCTCCATCTCATGTGACAGCACCTCAAGGATATTTGCATCGAGGACGACCAATAAACACGAACAGCGTGACCAGTTATCGGAGCGCAGTACGGTTATCGGAATGTACTTAACGCAATCACTTAACGCAAAGCTGACCACTAATAGCCAACAAATAAAAGTTTATCTGTAGGAAAGCAGTCCAAAGGGCTGCGACCGGGGACTCTAAAAAGCAATCGGGGAGCTCAGGCTCGCTACGTTTAGGGGCTCCGTGTTTGCTTACTACAGTGATCGACTGTGCACAGATATCACCGCTGCACCGCTGTCGAGGGCAGGCCTCTATATTTAAATATTAAATAACGCGCGTGGCTCGGCCATGCTTGAAATAACCCCATCTCAAAATCTCACTGACCCTCGCGTATAAATAAGCGTTAACCATAGGGAGTGGGTCACCTCTTCATAAACTAACTACCTTTGATTTAAAGCTTTCGTGACTGCAGGGATTCATGTTCTTTGGGTCTTTCGGTAAAGTCACGTAGATAGGTTCAAAGAAAATAACCAAAAACTACGTTTCGATCGCAACACAAGCGGTTGTCATCAGGAAAAGGGGGTTAGCTTCTAAAGGCAAACGGCTTATAAAAGTTTAAAATGGGCGTGACCTTCCCGAAAAGACCCAAGAAAAACTAACTACCATACGCGTACGTAGCCTACTCACGTGAGAGTGGACTCGGCTACAACGAGGAGGCCTGGCGGGGGAGCTTGGACCCCCCTCAAGAGCTGAACACAACAAAGACAAAGATCCCACGTATATCCTTCACAGACTGTTGGGGCAAGTGCTGTTAACGAGCACCTACGAAGGCCAGAACGGCACACGAGAGGGTGGGTGGCCACGCTGTACCGGGTACTCATTTGAGGCTGAGTCGACCTAGGGGAGGCCCATGACCTGTTCAAATAATCGTCACTGGTGTTGGTGGCCATGCAGCGGGAATCGAACTCGGGTCGCTGGATGCGTAGCACAGCGCGTAACACACACACACAGGCTGCATGACATATGACCTGCGCCACCCAAGACCCAAGTCATCCACGCAATGAGGGTTCACTCAATTTACAATCCTCATTCTTCTTCTTCGTACGGCCTATGTTGATGTACAGCAACAGCCATAATTTTACACCCATGTGGTTGAGCCAGATAATGGAGTGCATCGCATATGACGATGCCTCCTTCGTAATTGCGAATCGGGCCGTTGAGTCGTTATACGCTCCACTGTTCTAGCCGTCAAAAGTCGCACTCCGGAGTTGGTTTAAAGTTTATTTCCCAGGGGTGCATTCAGAAACAGCATCAGCCACGGTTTGTGAGCCGATGCGGTTTAAGATTGCCCATAAATTTCACGAAAGATCGATTCCAAGGGAGCTTCTGCGTCGGGCCTTTCACACGAGGCGCTTTATAAATCCCCCAACGATCGAAACACAGAGGAGAGAGCGAGCAAGCGACTTCCTTTAGTCGCCCGAGCTTTAATCTCTCTGCACAACTGTACACCGTTATAAAAAAAAAGCCACGGCTATTACAAAGTAAAATCCCTGCCCTTTGGCGCGCGCGTCAGCACCGGGCTGCTATCCGCGTGCAATGGCGATGCGCACACATACGCCAAGCAAGGCTCGAGAGCTCTCGAATGCGGCTCCAAACTCCTCTTCCTCTGAGCCGCGGACAAACTGTGTTGCCGTGCAGTCACGTGCCGCTGTGAATCACGCGCCACGTGCAAGAAGGCGTCCGGACTGGCGCGGCCACCTGACATCGTTATTCACTCTCTCTCGGATATTTCCCTCTGCCGCTTTTTCATCAGCCATTGCACGTGCACTCGGTTCAAGGCATTAACCCACGTGTGAGCATTTTAGGGCAATTAGGGTTCGTGGTGAAGGGAGCGGCGAGCGGTGATGTAGCGCGGTTAGCATGGGCCCTGGTGCATGGAATTAAATGTCCCCGGCCTCTTCCATGTCTCTCCTCTTCGTTGCCTGTCATCTGGGCCCCTTCCTGGCCATGGGTTCCGGTGCAGTTGCACCACCTGCACACTCGATTAGCCACCGCCCCTGGCTTGCAAGCAACCACGAGTGTCGCAAAGTCGGCGACGTTGGGGTTACGACTTCGACACGTTTCGCCGTGACACTCGCGGAGCCTCGACTGGACAGACCGGCGGAACCTCGCGCGTGAGCGGCCAATCAGAAAGTTGCAGAAAGGCGGCCAACGGATCCCTCTCTGCCTTTGACTGCGTAGAGGACCGTGGTCAAGCACTCCCACGCGCTTGTACACACACACAGTCAAATGAACACGCTCGTATTCATTTAAACATATGTTCAAACATTCATGCCCACCAAAGTATAAACACGCTCGCACAGATGTACAACAAACAGTCGCTCTGTGATAGTGAAGAGCACACCTCAGCGCATGACACTCATTTGAAAGAAATGGAGAAAAAACATCCCAAGGCAGGATCATCATGCAAAAGTCTGGAGACTCAGTCATGCTTTCCTAGAAATATAGAGGCCATTATTAGTATACATTTGTGGCATTGGTCAACAAGTTTTCTCATCCTGTGTGGCAGCTCTTCACCAGAGACTAAGATCAAGTTCGCCCATCTATCCTTCAACAGGCGGTCGGGGCAAGTGCTGTCAGCGAGCACCTCTTAAAGCCAGCACGGCGAACGAGAGGGCGATGTGGCCGCAACTACGTCACAGAAACATTAAGCCGGTGCTGACCTAGGGGAAGCGAAGGACTGGTTTCATTTTATAACTCACCACGGATGTAAGCCATGTCAGGAATTTAACTCCGTAAACTAGGGGAATGAGGTCAACAGCAGGTTTGTAGCACAGTGTGCTAATCACGGTGTCACTGCTCACCACACACAGACAGGCCCAT